GAAGGATACATAATTTGGTGTTAAATCTGGTTCTTTACTGGATGTTGATGGCGTAGAATTTGGTACTAAGTCTGGTTCCTCATAGGATGTTGATGGCAAATTAAATTGAGTTTCTTTATTTTCACTTTGATCAGTCTCTCCACTATTTTCATTAGGATTTTGTACAGGGGTATTGTTTACTTCCTTTCTTTCTAATGGTGATATAAATATTACTCCTTCTTGAGGGATTAACTTAAAGTCTTTCGACACAATTATAGTTTTACCATTCCAAAACCGGTACCAGCCTGCTTTTTTGCCAAATCCGATTAGAAATGATTTGTAGGCTCTAGGATACAGTTTGCTTCCTGGCTTTTGAGTTGCCGAAGGGATATTGGCCGAAGTATTGTAGATGACCTATCTTTGGTTTCATTCCAAAAAACATTTCAAAGGGAGTTTTTTTATTGAATGCGTGAGGAATTCTATTTTTTATATATACCGAGTGTGCTACCGATTCTGCCCATAATGTCAAGGGCAAATCAGAATCAATTAGATTGGTTCTAGACATTGTAGTTACAGTTCTATTTAGTCTCTCTGCCAATCCATTCGTTTCATGTATATATGGTATAGAATTTTCATGTTCTATACCGCGTGACTTAAAGAATAATTGTACAGTTCTAGATTTATATTTACCTCCATTATCGGATTTGAAAATTTTAATGTTTCTCCCCGTTTGCTTTTCGACCTTTTGTACATACTCTTTTATTGCTTCTAGCGCATCACTTTTTTGTTTTAAAAAATGAATCTCTGTGTAACGGGAATATTCATCAATGAATGAGAGTAGTATAGACTTCCACCTATTGATTTCGTTGAGAATGGTCCACATATATCAGAGTGAATTTTTTCTAGCAAGTATTGACACACATTTCCAGGCTCTCTTGTTATTCTTCTAGTCATTTTGGAAAGTTCACATGCTTTACAGTCTATTATGATGGATTTAATATTCGGAATAACATAAGGATCAGCTACTGCGCACTTAAGATCTCGGAAGGAACTTATAGGAAGATGTCCCAATCGTCTATGCCAACTAGTTATATTTTCTGAGGCATTACTAAAATTAGATGATTGCAACTCAGCTTCCTGGAAAACATTTTCTTTTAATTGAGATACAATCCACCCAATCATACGTCCATTTTTCCATAATGTTATATCTTTATCACCTTTCATTGTTACTCCATTTGTTCTGATAGTTTCCCAAGACATCAGTGAACACTTTAATTCTGGAGCATACAAGACATTGTGTAATCTGACATTCAGAGTTGAACCATTAGGTAATATAGCTTTAAGTTTAACTTCTCCGATATGAGTAACTTCAATCTTTTTATCATTACCCAGTCGAATGAAACTGTTGTAGGGACGAAGATTACAAAATGCATCTCTTTATTTCCAGACATATGAGAAGTTGCACCTGTATCAAATATCCATCTGTTTGATTTAGAACTGGTTGTAAATGCTGGATAGGCATGCTCGTCATCTTCTGAATCCCATACTGTATTATTTGTTTTTTCATCTTCTTTTTTATTTCGGCAATTTATTATTGTATGCCCTTTATACCATTTTTTCTTATCTTTACAATACGTGCATTCTTTTGTATTATATCTTTTAAAATTTTTATTTCTTCCCAAGAATGCTTGTTCATCTTCAGCTATAGAATTAGTTTTTGTAGACAATTCTAATAATCGTGCGCGTACATCATCATATGTTAAGTTTTGTTTAGTTTTTAGATTATCTATTATGTTATCTAATTCTTCTGGTAAGGTTGTGAGAAAAAGTGATCCCTTTGCCTTCATTGAATTTGCTAGCGGACGTAGTGACCACAATTCATTGTATTTAGCAATGTGTTCCTGTATTTTCGCATTTAATTCCAACTATTGATTTTACAAGAGCGTGAAGAGAGTATTCATTTTTTCGGTCAAACAGATCGTTTAAAACTCTCCACATATCCCAAGAATCTGTGTAGCAAGTGATCTGAGAAGCGATATTCGTATCCACATTGAAAAGAATAAAAGCCCAGCGTTGTTCCAAGCAGATTTTTTACTGTGCCATTTTTCATGCGGAATCGTGCCGTTTTACCTACCGAAGGTGCCGCACAGTGTTGCTAAACTTTTGTTCATACAGGGTGTTTCAGATTTAAACGAACACAGCTCAATGGAAGGTAGAGTACACTTACCTGAGTTCAAAACACCCCCATACTTAGCCTTTAATCTTACTCGTTTCTAAAATATAGTGTTTTATGATTTTTTACCAAAACTAAAATCGGCCATTTTGTTTGACCGGCTAGAGATATTTTGATACAATTTTGTACAAAAGTTACACTCTCCTAGTTTAATCAAAACCATAATTTAATTTTAAAAAATTCCAGGACCGGATTATCATTTTTTATATTGCTCTTCTTAGCTAGAATATCACCCTGTATATTAGATTTTAATAAATGTTACTGCACATTTAAATAGTACATGGATCAATAAATAAAATAATGTAATAATATTTAATGCCACCATCTTGATTTTCTTACAGTAAATTTTTATAATGGCGACTACAATATTATAAATCAGTATTTATAAAATTGAAATCAAATATTTTACACTGTATTTTTAAAACTCTACACAAATTAGGTACCATCTTCATTTATTTTTAACTGCTGCATTTTCCAATAAGAAATTGAACATCTACACAGGACCGGGCTCACTTTATTTCATAAAGTAACAGAACAAACTAACAGATACAAATAATTAATTAAAATTAAAGTAGATTTTCAAAATGAACACCGTGAACGTCAATACACCTCTGCGAACGTTTTAAGAGGTTTTTCACAAATTTGTCAATTATTTCCGGTTTATATTTAAACCAGGAAAACTGTTTTTATCATACTTTTCTAACTACAGCAAAAAATAACGGTACTATTACTTACTTTTGCATGAACTGTTCCATCTTATTATTCTTATTGTGTGAGCTAAACACTTTTACATTTTACCGGCTTATGTAAATCCCCGCCGCTCACAAGTCACAAGGTCACAAGCAGCTACACGCAGCAGATACAATGAACTGGAGTGGGGTAGAATGCTTGTCAATAGGCTTGAGATGCGACTCTATGGGCGAAGAAAGGTTATTTTTCATCTCACTCGGGAGTATTTATAACGACCATTTCCTATTTCACTTTGTTATTGTCTGATCCACCAGCCTGTGGATTGAACAATAACAATGTGAAACAGAAAATGGTTATTATAAATACTCCCGAGTGAGATGAGAAATAAAAATGGCTGCGCCCATAGAGTCGCATCTTGTTCAATTGATAAAATATGCACATTAGCTTTCTACCCCACTCCAGTTCATTGAGCAGATATGATAGATAGGCTGGTATGCCTGTTTTGTTATCCAAATTATCGAGTAGGCACTTGAAATACAAACCAGCCTCACCCGGCCGTCGATGAAAACATAGTCTTTCGCGTTGCCCGTAAAATGTCGGATAGGCAACTTATAATACAAAATCTTTATATCCAAAATTTAATACTGAAGGATTTGTGTTGGTATGTTTGTTTTTTGCTTTATGTTTTATTTCGGCAAGCCTGCAAGATTTTTGAAAAAAAAAAAAACAAATAGTGCCACTTTATAGGAAGAGGTGCCGCGGTGCATTTTTACTGTAAATTGTGCCACTTTTGGCACGATTGTGCAGCAAGGAACAACACTGTAAAAAGCCCTGGATAAGGAATGACGATACCTCCAGTCTTCACATTTATAAACATAATTGTTTTTTTCTTCTGCATGTTTATTTAAATCTTTCGTATCAAATTCTGGAACATTTAGTGAAGGATTCGTTTCTTCTTCATTGACTATTTTGTACAGATTATATAAATCCATATAAGCAAAAGCCATTGCTCGCCAGGAGTGGAAGTTAGATAATCCATGAAGTTTATCTATCTTTGGAAACTTATCCATAACTGTATTTTATGCAATTTAATTGCAAAATATTGTGTCTAGTTTCTTTTAGTTATAGCGTTGTCTGGGCCCATAACCTATTGAAATTTTTCTGCGGTAATAACTTAAGAGACTTTGACAAACATATATTTAATAATCAAAAATAGTTTCAAATCAATGTCAAAAACAAAGACATCATATTAAAATCTAGCAAACACATTCAATATACAGAGTAAAGTTAATAATAATAATTGAGAATTACACTGGGCAATTTCAACATATTTAACTCCGCTTCATACTAATACGAATAGGGTCGGATAAAACCTTCCACGGCTTTCAAAACGCCGCACGGCTGTGCCGGTCGGAGGGGGGGGGGTGTTAGGTTTATTTTCGTTGCGGAATTACGGAATTTCTTGATTCGGTCGCCACGCTCAAAGCCCGCGATAAAAGCTATGCGATAGCTTAAAATTTAAAATAATTCCAAGTTGCCTAAAATATATTTTTTGGGATTAATTATTTTCAAATATAGTTGCGCAGTAGCAAAATAACTGCAAATGTCTTGACAGACTCTCGATTCCAGATTCATTATCATAGATATTTATTATTCTTTTAAAATTTCAAGTTGCCTAAAACAACTTCTTTGAATTCGTCATCAACTCTTGGGCTTTTAGTAGTACAAGGTAAGTCTTCATGATAACTATTTGGTAGAAGTAAATAATCAGTTAATTTTACAATTACAACCTCAGGATTCTGAGAAAAAACTAATCTAGCAGAACATGGTTTGAATGTATAAACTGGTTTAATGGTTAAAAATGTAAACTCCGTTTAAAAATTAACAAAATACTTTTCGAAGTCCAGGCATCTTCCCCCTAAGTTTTGAGTATTTTTTGAAAATTTCACAAAATCGAACTAAAAAGATTATTCAAAATTATTTAGTTTGCTCTTAATCGATAATACAATATGATTATTATGAATCAGATATTGGTGAATTGGAAAAGTTTATTGGCGTTTTTGAGAAAGTCGATATTTTCTCATATTTCTTTTTTTAGGTGAAAGAGGCGACGAATCGGACTATTATACACCAGATGAACCAGCTCCATCATCAGTTCCATTATACGAGGGTACCAACATGAGTTCGGTAGAAAGTACCCCTCAACGTTTACCTGGTACACCTTTGTCACATGCAAGCGTTCGCAGCAGCGGTGACAGTTACACAAGCGGTTCTAGCACACGCCATCTTTTAGCGATCGCCGGTACCGGATTGATTCAAGAAAAATCCGTGAACGTTTAAAAGCTTAATCTAGATTGTATTATCCGGTTGGTTAACATCTTACATCTGTAAAGCTTGTAAATTCATTTCCGTCCCAGTATTTAATTTGCTGTCTCTAAGAGTTAACTTAAAATGGAATGTTAACTTCATTATAGCTCAAAGCGATACATCACCTGTCAAATAACCAACTGTTTTTTTTTCGAGTATTCATATCACTTATGTTTCACATATGACATCTGTCAAATCATTTAAAGAATTTTTAATTATAATGTACTGCAGCGTAAATCACATAATTGAAGCAGTATCGGAAAAATATTTAGACTTTGTTTATCAGAGAAGAGGGCACCATGTGTATAAATAAAATATTTATTATTAATGCATGTACATAATTGTGAAGTAGTCTTAATGCCCTTAAAACTTAAAACCAAATTTTCCAAGTGTTAAAAATGTGACTTTAATGAATCTCTATGGTTACGGGAAGTTTCCCTAGTTTTTAACAGGTGGAAAAAAATGTTGACATGAAAATATGAGATCACACAACAATCATCATATCGGCCTTAATCGTATATACAATTTTTGTTTTTGATAAACATGGTCCAATTAGAAATGAATCAATTTTTAAAATGCAATGACAAATTTTCTGACAGCTGTCTTAAATCATTAATAGTTAATTAAAATTAAGTTATACCAAGCAATATAAAGTGATAAACGGGTATGCATTAACTTATATACAAATTGAGCTAATAAGGGAAGTTTAATTGCTTAAATAACGGGATTTTTGATGTCTAAATTGCCTCACTAGGTTAAAATCAGGCGATCCTGGAGGTCATGAATTTGCTAAATTTGTCCTTAAACCACTTAGTTTTCATGACACCCCCTTTTATTTTCCATTTATTTGAGTAATTAAATTTTGTTTGCTTTATGTTTTTGATCCAATTTTTTTTAATCCATTAATTAAAGTGTGTTCCTTATTTTATAATAACCCCAAATTTAAAGAAAGTAACCCTTATACAATTTTTTTGCACCCATATCAAATAAATGACAAAATTCTAGAAATATATTTAAAAAAAAATTAAATTGAACATCAATTAATTTTTTATTATCAACCTCATTTTATAGAATTCTAATTATATTTAAGTATCAAAATTTTATTTACAAAAAAATATATATTATATTTTTTATTTGTTTTTAAGTTTTTTTTATTAATTGAATACTCGTTTGTGATACAATGAAATTATATATATTTGTTTGTATAGTTTATGGAAAGTATTGAGTAAATACGGAAGGGGTAGTATTTAAGCACTATATTTAGGTACATATTCGATTTTTATAAGTTGTAAATAGTTTTATTTGTGTTGAATTGTTAAGTAAAAATTTTAATTTACATTATTTGTGATAACACCAGGCTCGATTTGTTCATATTTGCTTAAACTTCTAGTTAGTGCCAAGCCAAGTAATTTTTAATGATCTAATTGCGAAATAGCGTGACTAAGGGGGTAATATTGGTCAAGACTGAGAGGCTATCACTTTTTTATACAGTTTTTATTTATTTTGTTGACAAAAATCGTTCAGTAGTCACTTTTAATGTAAATTAGATTGATTTTAATTTTTTAAATTGATGAATTATATTTGATTAAAATACCGATTTAATGTACCCTTTGTTTTATTTTCATCCAATTTATTACTCGATGCCTGTGTATGAAATCACAAGAAATTGATTTTTGGTAGGTAACCTACTAAGAAATGGACCACAAAGTTTGCATGTATTGCTCAGTATACTGCAAAAAATGACCAGATAAAATTTTATGAAATTTGAGTTAATATGACCAAATCACTTGTTAATAATAATAATAATAGGGGTGGGTGGCTCAGTGGTAGAGTATCTGCCTGCGGATACAAGGGTCCCAGGTTCGAATTCCACCTTTGGCCGGGATTTTTTTATTTAATTTAATTATTTAAAATTAATTCTGATGCCTTGGTAAGATTCCCCACTCGACCATTCACTGTTGGGTTCTAATTAACAGTGCTGTTCCTGAAGTGGCGCTGGGAAACAGTAACAAAGCCTACACAGAATACACATGATTGAGAATTTAAACACAAACTGAGACTGGCATATTAGGTTTATACACCTAGGTCATAAATAAAAAAAATAGTCAAATCAACAAAAAAAAATGACCAAGTCATATTGATGGATTTTATTTAGGTAGTATAAATATGACTTAGTAATTTTTCTTTTGGTAGGTCTGTCTTCAATAAGTGACTTTGTCATGTTAACTCGAATATATTTGTAAAAGTACACAAACTATACCATTGTTTTTCTTTAAGCGAGGGCTAAACCACTTACAAAATGGTAAGTTTTCACTCGAAATCGCTTACAAATCTCTCGAAATATCCGAAATCACCACGGAAATCGCCACTGAAATCATCATCAAAATCAAAACTATTCGTGTTCTGAAATCAACATGATACTGAGAATCAGTTATTGTGACCCAATAAGTTCGGGTTTGGCGATCATTATTTGGGCACCGGGTTTACAATAAACGCCGATCTGAAATAAACAGGTGGATCAAAAACGGTCGAATATTTCCCAAAATAGTACAATAATAATGATAATTTTTTGAAAATTTTATATGATTTTGGTGTGAAATCGTATAAAATTAAGGGGGGTTTTGGCAAAATTCCCTCGGCTAAATCACTAAGGTCAAAACGTACCTGTATTTCGGAATCGCCCATGGCACTGTATGATTTCACGAGAAAAAATTTCTTGAGGAACGTTCAATACCTTTTTATGCCCTTCAGTTGTTTTTTGATCCATCTTAATGTAAACCCGGACATTCTGGGTCACAATCTCAGTCACAATGACCTATTCCCCGCATCACGTTAATTTTGACTCGCGAAAAGTATTGATTTCGGGACAATTTGGAAATTTCTGTTAAGATTCGGTGATGATTTTGAAGATTTTTTAGCGATTTTGGTTGAAAACGTACCAGTATATTTCGAGAGTGGCTCACCCCCCAGACAGCACACCAAATCCTTTGGATATTTACTGGGCATCCCAATATCCACTGAATGTCCAGTCCATGGTGGATATCTATTTTATATCCATGAGATGTAATTTATAGACATGCAAATGTCCATAAATAATAGTAATTATATAGCAAATTATTAAAAAATTACGCCATTGTGGCTAATAGTACCGTTCAGATATTTAAAATTAATTTTTTTAAGGTGTATTCAATATCTCATGGACATCCACTAAATATATCAAAGTCTAGGCGCGAACGCAAACCATCGTGGATATCCACTAGATGTTATTTGATTTTGCTTACTAAGTATAGATGGCGATACCACTTACGCATCTACTCATGCTCGACCCGCCGTAATTGAGTTCGATCGAAATTTTTGTCCTAATCAGACTCCATTAGAGACTGGAGTCGAGAATTTCCATTTATTGCTGAAGAGTCCTAATAAGGATGACTTTCTCCTTAATGGGCAAAATCAAAGGCAGAGTGTTGAAAATATTTTGAGTATTGAAAATATTTTTTCTCTGCTATTTTCTTTCGACGTTATTCAATAATCATTGGTTACTTATGAACCTCTACTAAAGATACCCATAAAATATTTTGCTGAATATCCTAATATCTTCTATATCCTGGGATATAGACGGACATTTGGATATCCATATTAGATCCACTGGATATTATGGATATCCACAAAATATATTCTGTGGATATCTCTGGGATTTCTTGTATTGTCTGGAAGCATTAGATATTTTGCTGAATATCCATTAAGATATCTTCTATATTCTGGATATAGACGGACATTTGGATATCCATATTAGATCCACAAGATATTTCTGATATCCTGTGGATATATTGGATATCCACAAAAGATATTCTGTGGATATCTTTGGGATTTGGTGTGTTGTCTGGGCCCCGGAAGACATCTATTCTTAATATACAACGTAGCTGATGTGTAAAGTTCGGATCGCATGACAGGCAATTTCTTGTATTATTTTTTCAATTTAATTGTGTATTTTCTACTCGTACTTTACTTTGGCTCCCAGTGTCGGAACCTTATTTTGGATAAAATCTACTTTTTGAGCGGCTAGACGAAACTATAACCCTTTCTAAATTAGTTATATGAAGGTTTTTCTCTATTTATTTTGGTTATCAAAGCAAATGTTTACAGTAAAAAAAACATTTAAAAGTTGAGCGCCAGTCTAGGTGCCTTTTGTAAAAATAGTCAATGCAACAAGAATAGAGGCTCTTTGAAAGACGAGAAGTAGGTTCAATGTCTGTGGAAAATTACACCATCGACGATATTGTACTACTAACCTGAAGCCATCACGGGTTAATTCGCAGAAAAATTATAAATTAAATAAAAAAAAAATTCAAAAAACTTAACTTCCCTAACCTGTGCGGAATGGAGGAATTCCCACCTTTTTTCTTAAACATCTCTGTAGAGGTATGCCTTATCGTTAAAAAAAATTTGAATCTCTCGATATTCTCAAGATACGTATAATATAACGAAATATTCCCATTGGCGTGCTTATAAATACAATTTTATATTAGAAAATCCTTAAAATATTTTTACTTTCGCGAGAAGTCCGCTTTGCTTTTAAACCACTTCGATCGACCTTTATGTGGACTTTACATGCAGCTCAATTTCGTGGCAGCGAGTATGTAAACACGTCGCTCGCGCTGCTATTGCTCATGTCGCTGCCGCACGATCCCTTTCAGTGGCGGTAATTTGAACAGAAGTCAAAGGACTTGGAGCACGAGCGACAGCGACTGTTTACATGCTGCCCGCTGTACTGTTCTGTTGCTTTACCAAGTGCACAAAGAACAACTTATGTTTGTTGTTTGGTTAATTATTGGCACCAAAAACATTTCAACCATGGTTGTGTAGAGCAACGACCAGGTGCTCTTAAAGTTTTTAGAGCTATATGCAACTGAGGTATTATTATGGGATCTTTCACATAAAGATCACAAAAAAACACAAAGTACACGATGGACGGAAAAGGAAAAGTGAAAACCTAGAAATTGCCTCAACATTTCGGCCGCTATTATAAAAGAAAAAGCGTTTATACGGTCTGGAGCGAATGCTGATAAGGTTTTTCAGCATGGGTTTTTTTATGTCACATTTCTTTTTAAAACATATTATTTTGCAAACTCAAGAAACCGAGCGCTACGTCCTCCATTAATGCTAGAGAATAATGGGTAGGCGCAATAGCTGCATGTAAATAGTCACAAGCTTCAAAGGCTGCCGTGGAATTATTCAGGTCAGGACAGCGGGCAGCGCGAGTAGCAGCGGCAATGGCTGCATGTACAGGCGGCATTAGATATACGCGATTTCGATCATTTGCTCTAATGACGATCTTTTTTGGTTTCGATTCTTTTTTCACTTTAGAGAACTTTTGTCATTTGAACCAAAATCGAACTTTTGTACTTTCAAAAATTTTTCCAATCGAACTTTTTTGAAAATTCGAACTTAATCTTTTTAAAACTTATTTTACTAACTCCATATTTGTTTACTGTTGTATTCGAAAAATAAATTTTAAAAGTTGGCGGCAAAAGTTACGGTACTCGCCTAATACCCACGTGTCTTAATTTCTGATTGGTTAATTGATAAAATTACTTGCTCTTGATTCGTTAGATTAAACGAGTCGAGTTGTCGTGCAGTTGTCAAGTCAAATGTCAAATCTTTATCTCGAAGTGATCTCGAATGAATTTTGATGTTTTTAGGTTAAGATGTTGGACAATTTTGCTCAAAAGACTGAATGAAGAGAAACATTGTTTTTCCTATTGGTTATCCTGAATGATTTTTTTATAAATAAGGCAATTAAGAAATAGAAATACAGTAATTAGTTTTATTTCAACAAATACCGGTCTCTTGCCAATATGGCGCATCAATGGATGTAAGTTAAAAAGTTACATTTTTATTACATATTTACAATAAGAAAAAAATTTTTTACTTAATATTTATTTATTTATTTTAGATTTTCTTTAATTGTACTATCTTGTGCTCTATACAGCATGGGAGTAGATAAAAATAATTTTAAGACTTGTGATCAAAGCAGTTTTTGCAGGTAATTTCAATACCTATTCCTACAAAGGTTTTTGCCAACAATCCCAATTTTTTTTTAGACGTTTAAGAGCAGTAAAACCTGGCGAGAGCAAATATGAAATAGACCTAGATTCACTACAAGTTACTGACAATTCTGTAGATGCCAAATTACTTAACACTGAAGCTGGAGTTCTTTTTAAATTTTCATTAACTGCTATAAATGGTAATATATTTAGAATACAAGTAGACGAGGCAAGTCCTCTGTATCAGCGATACAGGCCTCAGTTTGCATTAAATGGAGAACCACAAGTAAGCAAGTAAGTGAAAGTTTTTTATAAGTTTTGGATCTATAAAACATTTAAATGAGTACATATTATAATTCTCTGATAACAATTGTCACCAAGTGGATATCAAGTTAGGTTTATTAAGTACTGATAATCGATACAGATAAGCAAAGTAATGTCTGATGTAACTTTATTATTATTTTTTTAAATATGTTATTACAGTAGAATTTTGACAGTGGTTAATCTATTATAATTCTTATCCAGTCTAGTCCATCAAACTATATGGATAAATCAAATCCATTGGATGAAGAAACTGGCATAATTGAGTGGTTCAGTGCTAAAATTGCCTAACCAACACAATTTCAAAACAACCAGTCATTGTATATTATTTTAAAATAATTTCTGCATGTGCCAAAGTCGCCTATTCCTTAAAATTATTCTTTTTTAGTGTCACCATCTATACCTAAAGTCAGTTGTGTCTAGTATAAAAAGCTTCAATTTCACTTTTAATAATTTGTAGTTTAAGCAACTCTGGCACTGAACCAGTCAGTCCTGAAAAAATAATTACAGTGAAAAATTCATAATTTTAAAAATAAAGTAACATTTGAACATTTTTTTTATTGCTTTACCTTCATTTTTAAGAGGCGTTAGGAGAATGTACTTTACCTTTTACAAGGGTTTTTATAGAACTCCACTTTTAAAGTTTATTTATTTACACTTTTACCCTGCAGTTAAACACATACATTGTATTAGTAATTTATAAATATTTTGTAATACTGTATTTCTTAGTAGTTAGGCAATAAAGATTTATTTTTCCTTCTGCTGTATGTTAAATCTTTGATATTTTTGATATCTATATATACCAAGAGAGCCATATTTTTCAATGATTGACACCTTTCTGTGGAACAGAACAAATTATTAAATCATTAAAATAGCCGGATATTAGGGATTTTGTAACAGTTTTCAACAAATCACCGAATTAGCACTGAAATCATCAGGTCTGGAACACTGTATTCTAGTTACAAATGGTGGTGAATCATATGGATGGGTCTTTCTCATTGATATAGATTGCTCATCCATATATAAACAAGATGACGAAAAGTGGGTCACACTGCAGTCAATCATATTTCCTTATTACCTTGCTTTTTTAAAACTCAATTTGTATACTTCGAGTAAGAATTATATTTTGAAAAAGTATATATGCGTAGCTGTCATTAGATACGTTTACGTATACGTTTCTGGCATTGCTTTAATAGAGAGTTGAAGTGATGCTATCAACGTAAACGTATACGTGAAAATTGACATCTACGCATGCGCATTCATATATCCGTCACGTTCACGTCTACGTACATACGTAAGCTTGCCGGTTCTGGCGTATGCACGTAACGCAAATAACATAACCTCTATTTTAATTGGAAATGAAGAAATCCTAATAATAATTGTCATTATCTGTCATGACACGTAAATGTCACGATGCGTTTAACAACTTCAACTCATATTTTGGACTATATCGTAAACATTATTTTTGTGCGTTGATGTTCACGTTTACGTTAACGTACTGGAAACACTTCAACTCTCTACTTAGAGAGTTAAAGCAATGCCAGAAACGTATACGTAAACGTATCTAATGACAGCTACGCATGCGCAATAGCGATTTTTCTCACGTATCTATTTACGTCTTACGTAAACATACGTGTTCTTACGTACGCCTAATACGCATTCGTATCGAGCCGAGCAAATGCTTCGGGAGCATCCGATCGTACCCGAATTAATAAAACTAATGACAGATTGTAACTTTATATTGTTCTGATTTTTTACATTTTGAGCCATAATACGAAACGAGTTTCATATACAGTGTGTCGCATTTAATATGAAGACACCCCTATATTTTGGCTATCTAAATAAATACAGATTTGAAATTTTGCACAGTCATACAGGGTGATGGTTCACATTTTTCAAGACACTCAACTGAAATTTAAATTTTAAACGCGGCCTACTGCGAATTCACAAACAGGGTCAATTTTCGATATTTTTCTTCGCGTTAGAGATATCAGAAAAAGTTATTTGAAAAAGTTGTTCCGAATATTATTCTAACCCCACATACCAAATTTCATGGCAAAATTAGCATTTTTAGTTTTTTTTTATTAGTGTAATCGTGTAATCAATACACAAAAAATTATTAAAAGTTGATTTTTTTTATTCGATAAACTAGTGTGCCATGATTGACATTAATGATTTCACAAGTATCAAATTATTCCTATCCATGGCACACTAGCTTATCGAATAAAAAAAAATCAACATTTAATAATTTTGTGTATTGACAAAAATAATGAAAAAACTAAAAATGCGAATTTTGTCATAAAATTTGGTGTGTGGGGTTAGAATAATATTCTGAACAACTTTTTCAAATAACTTTTTTTGATATCTCCAACGCGAAGAAAAATATCGAAAATTGACCCTGTTTGTGGATTCGCAGCAGGCCGCGTTTAAAATTTAAATTTCAGTTGAGTATCTTAAAAAATATGAACCATCACCCTGTATTACTGTGCGAAACTTCAAATCTGTATTTATTTAGATAGACAAAATATAGGGGTGACTTCATCTTAAATGCGACACACTGTATAACATACACATCACATTTATTCCTAGAAAGTTCATTGAAAAAAATAAATTAGTAAACATTATCGGACATTGATACCCCAGTATATATACCAATCAGTATTGGCACTCTGAGGCGGCACGTTTGATCTTTAAAAGTAGAAATTTTGGTTGACACTTGACGTTTTCGGGATATGAAAAGTTTTCTTTACACGGACTTGGTATACCTGGTTAGTTGAATTTTTGTTCTGCTGCTTTTCAAATTCGTGTGTACGAGGGAGATGTGAGATACCTTTATAGACAACGGTTGAACAACTTAATTACTTTGAATAAGAAAATAGATTAGATATCAGGGCAGTCTTAGCAAGTGTAAGAAGGACAGAACCGTTTTAAATTTTTTATATATGTGAAATATTACTTTTTGATGAAAAGTTTATTTACTTTTAGTTCAAAATATAACGTTAGTTTGTCAAGGGAAATATATAACACACAAGATTAGATTAACAAAATAGAGGTATTGCTTTATTTCTTAAGAATTACTCTAATCTAAAACTTTTCTAGTATATTGTAAAAATTTATTCTATACGTTATTTAGGTACCTACTGCAAAATCTATAGGAAAGTAAGTAGTTTTAAATTTAAAAATTTGTAACGGAGACATAGTGTAGTTTTTTTACAAATATATACTCAGTGACTTGTTATTGTAAATGAGTTCAAGTATGGCAGACTAAAATCGTTATTTTTTATTATGAATTAATTTGAATTTATTTTAAAATGGGAACTATATGTATATGGTTTTCGTAGTTTTTACACTTGTGATAAAAATATCAAAGTTATGTATATTGGCCATTTACTACACACAGCAAATTCATAGACACAATACATATTACTATTTGACATTCTTGTAAAACCACTAATTTAATTATAAAATTGACTTTAAACTAAGTGACTACACACAGAATTGTTTGAAAGCAGCCATAAGGTATAATTTATTTATTGGATACTATAAAAAAAATAATAGTAGTTACATGTAGAGTTAAGTAACAAGAAATTTAATACCAAAAACAAAACAAACCTTTATATCTAGTGAACTTAATTTACTACAGTCCTCAACTTTCTTAGGCTAACATTAAAGATATCTATTTGGATCTCGCTAAGAAACTCATTGTTAACAGCCATCATCTTGTTAAAAGGAGATATACTACTTGGATCTAAATCAAATAATTGTTTGTTACTTGGGTTTCTTAGATTAATCTTTGCCGCATTAACATTTATATAATCAATCAATTCACAATCTTTGTACTTAAAATAGAGTACAAAATATATCACAGCCTGTTGCTTTCTTCTTTATAAAAGAGATTTAATCTTAAAACTATTGAGCCAAAGATCTTAGGTATAAAGGTACAGGTATTTTTAATGACATAAAGGTACCGTAAAAATATTTTTTGTACTTTTTTAATATGACCAATTTGTGTGGCTTCCAAATTTGTGAAACATACTCAAGATGGAGTCTTACTAAGGCATTATATAATCTGATTTTGGTGGTAATCCTAAATTTTTTTTGTATTTCTGATTTAAAAATCGAATGCTTTTATTGCTTTTTTAGTTATGTGTAAAAAATGGTTATTGAACTTCAAATTAGACTGAAAGACAACTCCCAAATCCTTTACCTCATATTCACGATTTAATGTGACATCACAGGTCTTATTTCTAATGTAAAACAATAAGAGGCTATGGATCCTTACAACTTAAAATATGCATACGTTTGTAAGTGTTAAATAGACGGATAAAAAGTGTTGATTTTTATTTACAACTATAATAAGAACCCATTAAAAAGATTAAGAGCAATAGAACATTTCAACAAATTTCTATAGGTACACATATTTTTGATACCTGCAGGGTTATTCTACTAAATTTATAGCCCGGCTACAAGTCTATAGCCCGGCTACAAGTTGGATTTTGAAGTAGGAATATATAAAGTTCAAGCCAAAATCCAACTTGTAGCCGGGCTATAAATTTAGTAGAATAACCCTGCAGATAATCAATAAATAATATATTTTTTGGAGTAGCAACAGGTTTATTAATACACAACTATTATTTTGTTACAAATACTTATAATATTTATAATTAACATAATAGTTGGTATAAGTCCTTTAAAAATAATATATTTTGATTTAATTGTTGAATTTATACATGAGCAATTTTCCTTGTACGTTATTTACATTTTGTAGAGAAATATTGTATTCTGCTTTTAGCTGATAAATCATGTACATGTAAATGGGTTGAATGTAGACAATGTTAATGTTTTTACTACTACTGCTGGCTAGGAGTGCTGGGCTGGGACACCAACAAAAAAAAGGAAGCACAAAGCACTAATGTTTTTATCACTTATACACGTACAATTTACAACCATTCAAGTAACTAGCATGTTGGAAATACTTCACGAAAACATATTAAACATAAATCAGTTGAAGGCAATGTATTTTCTTTTTATAACACACCTTTTTAGCTTGATTACTTTTAGTACTCTATTTATTCCAATGTCCTCAAATAAAACGAGCAATAATAAGGATAAAACACACACTGTATTTGGGGTATTTTTGATCCACTATCAAAATAACAAATTTTCCATTTTTAAGCTGTGACTGTATTACAAAAACTACTTCGATAAAATGTAAACAAAAGTTTATATTTGTGTACGAAATATGGGTTGCCTGCGCATGGTAGCGAGTTTTTAACCGGATTTATGACAAGTGATAGGTTATATCCCGAAAACGTCAGCGCAGTAAAAGCTGCGCGTCTTTTTCCCGCCCAGGGGGTCGATTCTCGACTTTTATTCCCATGGGAAAATAAAATTTTCCCATGGGAATTCAGTTTTCGTATTCTCGGCATAAGCGGTGGAATATTTTCCAATGAGAAGTATGGGAAAATATTCCCCTGCTTGCGAGCATTGGAAATTGTGTTTTCCAATGGGAATTGTACTAGAGTTTGCGCATTAAAGTCGAAAATTTGACGAAAGACCACGCGAAAGACTAAGACATAACCAAAGATTATTGGATATCTTGGATTTTTGGTGAAATTGTAGTTAAAACATGTTTTTTGTGTATTTATAAAGTGATATTATTTTATTTATGTGGGTATATTATTTTTACCTCTCTTTCACTAAGAAACTGATTTTCTTAAATTAGTTAGAAATTGTGGGAGCTGCTAAGGGACTGGCAAATAGGTAACACAAATTGAGAAATTTGTAGTAAATTTAATAAGACCTTTTCGAAAATTTTATTATTTCCGTTAACGAAAGAATTTCTTATATATATAGTTTCTCGAAACTTTCGTTGCTCTTCTATACAAAAGCTACTTTTTCTTTTTTCAATATGTGAAAAGAAAAACTAAAAATAACTCGATAAGTTTTAATTATACATAATCGAATATTTTCACTTGTCCTCGGTCAAGCTAGCGATTGCTCGGCACGGCATCTGCTCCAGCGCAGAGGCTCGGCAGGTAATCGGTTACCCAAAAACCACAACAAATACAAATAATACCAACAGTAAATTTTAAAATATCTTTAATGTTATTGCTTATTTCGAAATATTCGTGAACTTAATATCAGACATACGTGAAACTATTATTTCCATGGGAATGTCTATTCCGACAAGTTCGAGAATTGCATAACCTATTACCATGGGAATATAAGTAGTGGAATCTTTTCCCATGGGAAAATTTTCCAATGAACTCGAGAATCGAGCCCCAGGGAGTGTCATGGGCCTGTTGATACTCCATTATTTGTTATTCGATTATTAAAATTGAATCTCCAACATAAAACATCACTATTTTCCAAATTTTCTTTATTATGTAGAATGTGTAATATACAACAGCATCATTTAAAGCCCTTAAATTTATAATTTACTCAATATAACCTATCTACTTTTCTCAAAAAGTACCTAAGGTTATAAAGTTGTAGATACGTTTACGTCAGTGCCTTTGCTTTAACTATTGTTTTCTTCCAGATTGCTCGTTTAACGTATCGTCAATTTCCACTTACGTCAGAGAGATACGCATACGTATCTAGCGTTGCTTTAACTCTCTACTCTCTACATAGAAATAATATAGAAGACCAATATAAACATAACATTTAAGCAGAAATTGAAACCTACTGTGCATAAAAACGCGTCTCTGCGCCTGACATCGCAAAATAGTGTGTCTAGAAGCTTGCGCAATATGCATGACTTGTCCCTGTAGTGTTGCCAAATATATTAAACATACCTAACAGAAAAGAATTTTAAATTAATTAATTTTTAAATTATATGATTTAATTAAACAGTTTATATCTACGAAATATCGCCACAAAATAACTTATAAACATTTAAATAATCAACTAATAATATTTATGTGTAATTACATTCCCAAAAATATATACAAATACCGTATTAATGTCATTAATACCGTATTTTTAATGGTCAATAAGCGATTCACCTACAAATTCAATATTGACCTGACAATAGCACTAAAATCCGGTGTTTCAAGGCTATATGACATGACGCTGCCCTTACAGGACCGTTTGTAGTTTATTATTTATGCCGCGTTTGAGAATCCACATCGGATGCATCTGAGATGTAGTAGTAGTAAATCTTTGATCACGTGATTCAGTATACGTAAATGTAATGGGACAGATGTGTCCGATGTGGATAAAAAACGCTCGAGATGTAAAAAATGCATCCGATGTGGATTCTCAAACGCGGCATTAATTACATGATGAAAGTGGCATTTTATTTTTAGTTTTGTGTAGTGTTTAGTCAAATCCTAGGTACAATAAAAGACACTTTTACATTGGCTAATGAAAATGTAATCAATGTATTAGGCAGCTGTTATATTTATTACAAGATTTATGTCTGCAAATCTAAACCTACCTAAGAATTATAATTATGTAAATAGAGAGCTGTATATTTATATACAGGCTGCCCAGCGACGGGGAGACATTATCGATATCGGTTTTAAGGCATTTTAAAACATAAACCCGATCTCAACAATCTTAGGAACTCTTCTGTCACTCGATATTTTAATCGGTACTTCCTCTTCGCTTTTTGGCTGGCACAACAATTATTTACATTTCTTCATTCCTTACCGCGTTCGAACCAGTAAGGTTTAAAGAAATTTAAAAAAAACCTACTTTAAAAATAAAGATGTTAATGATTTTCTTATGGATCCCATCTTCAGATCTTGACTTAATGTATATAAAACTGTTTCCTTTTCTAACAAAAAGAATCCTAGAAATCGGGCAACGTGGTAAAGAATTATCGCTCAACATACTTAAAAAAATATTTCAACGAATTGAGAATATCCTACCATTTTGAAGTATGTTAAAAAAAAATTGTTAATAAAGTGAAAAGTAGGGCATGAACATATATTATAAAGTATATAAAATGATAGATAAATCCAGTTTAGAAGGTATTATAAATAAACTGTGGAAATATCGAGAATCTCGATTTTGAATCGGAAAAATATTCTACGCAATTTAGTATGAAAGCTAATCAAAATGAAACACATGAACGACAAACTGTTATTGACAACTTTCTTCAAACGTTTTCTATTTTTCCGAAAACTAACTAGATAGTTCGAAAATCATTTCCTTCGTTAAAACGCCGCTTGTTCCGAAAAAGGTACACGCCTGTCAACATTCATCATTCATTAAAAAAGTGGTAGATACAAAACGCTTCGTATTGTAAGGCCAAAATATATTTAGAAATCGAAATAGTCATATAAACAAAAAAATCATATGAGTGAGATAACTACCAAATTAATGATTTACAAGTTTATTCCTATTATTTATAAAATAGGCTTGCAATGTGCTGGTGTGGAATGTTATGATCGACTAAAAACTTTAAATCTTTGTATTAAATTGATCGAAAACAAACTATAAATTGGTTTAGGCTATATAGAATGTTTCTAGTAAGCAGCAACTAATTTTTATTATGGAACCGAAAGACCCTTTTAAAAGGGTTCAAAATTAAAATAAAATATGTACCAAGTAAATGTAGTAGTATTTTTTAATTTATATTGAAAATGGTAACATGAAAGGTTTTCTGTCTAACGACTCATAGTCTCGGCTGACAAAATGTAAAAAAATATCGATCATAATATTCCTGGGCCCTATTTTGCACTCCCCAGATTAAATTTAGTTGTTGCAAATGATATTATCAAATAGGATGTCAAATCACAAGCAAAATCTCGTGACTACAGGAGTGCGTTTAGAAACCTCGCACGGCGCGTCTGGACCCTATTCTAATGCATGTGGTCAGACGCGCCGTGCGAGGTTTCTAAACGCACTCCTGTACTAATGATTGCCTGTTTGGAAAAGTATCTTTGTTTGTAAATATTTATATGCATAGTTATATTTAAATGCGCGAGTGTAATGTTAAGTATAAACAAAATCCGCCCATTATGTATATTCGTTTAGTTACCGACCCTAGTAGATAGGCAATTTGTTATTGTTTTAAGTTTTACCGTAGGGAGAGAGAAAATCAATATTAGGATAAATGGTCCAGCTCCTTTCTGGTTACGTAGGTACCTAAAAAGTATTTTAGTTTTTGGTTAAGTAATTAATTATTGTAACAGTGATTTTCTTGTGATAGTACCTAATTTAATAATAAACGTAGTCAAAACCGGAGCACGTGGTTTTTCTGGAAAGTATTTTTAAAATCACAAGCAAAATCTCATGACTACTGTACTAATGATTGCCGAAAATTAACTAATTCATATTTTATGCCATATCTTTCTTAATAAGGACTGTCAGAACCATATTTACCTTAACTTGAAATTTTTTTAATCGTTTTTTGTATAGAATCATCTCTAAAAATGTATGATTGAAATGTGTGAACTATTTGTTCGATCAATAAAAAACTTGCACCGGTCCTGTTCGCGCCAGCACCGTTATACGCATGAGCTCCGACACACTATTTTCTCCTTATGGTTTCATTTTTGATATATGGAATTGGCTTTCTATACTATTTCTATGACTCTCTAACATCTACCTATGCGACCCGCTTTTCTACATTTTATTTGCGTATGGGTGATCAATCTATATAACTATATATCATTGGTCCTTCTCCGTTTACTGAAGAGTAAAAGTATCGATAGTCATATCGAAACGCAACGGTATCGATATATGACACTGTCAATGTTTGACAGATGCGCGATTCGTTTTTTTATTTTTTAACAGCTCTAGCACAGCAGCGTTACCGCATTACGTAAATTACGGGTCGATAACTCCAAGCGTTATCTTTAATTAGTGCATTGTTTGTTCTGGACATTGGCGAAATGTTTGTTGCTGAATTTTAGGTTATACATATATAATATTTATTTAGTTATTTAGAAATTATAACTTTCTAAACCTGTTACTATGTCTGATGGAATTAGAAAAGAGTCGAAAAGGTTGAGATTTACATCAGATGACGACCTGGCACTTTTAAGAGAATTTATTTGGCAAAAGCCTCTTGAAGAACCAGAAAAGTGGGGAATCGTTCAGAAAAATGTTTTTGATATTTCTGGAAAAAAATTTAGTATTCGCACGTTGAAAGATCACCTGTTTTTAATATTAGAGACTTGGTTGCTAAAGGATACAGATTTCTCAAAAAGGTAAGTAAATATTCATAATAATTCACTTACTTTTTATTATTGGCCCTAGGAAATGTGCTTTATATACATATGTATTTAAATTAACCAGTAGCAAGTATAAGAATACTATTTTTTTAAAATATATAAAAGTAATTTTTGTTATTGCAGATCTGGATTTGAGGAAATTTATTCTGAAAGGGACCAATTGTTGCAAGAAGTAAGTGACATTTGCAATAGTTCTAATATTAGTCCTCGCAAGAAGAAAAAAACTGAAAGCAAGGAAAAACAAATTGCTGATTTAGGCAGAATAGTGAGAGAACAATGTGATAATATTCAATTAAAACATGAGATTTCTACCAGTACCAGTAATAGCCAGTCTAATTATTTAGACCATGATAATTGTAAGTACCTACCTGTAGTGAATAACAAAGCTAAAATACCAAATATAATGAGCTCTGTTTTATGATGTCACTATATTATATATATTTTTAGTTGGGGGTCTTAATAAAGATAAAATTGAGTTAGTCGTAGAAACGGAAATTAGACCAGATATGTCCTCACATATTCCTATAGTGGAGACAACGCAAGTAAACAATGAATCTGAATCAAACAGGAGAAACTTCGGTTTGGAATTAATTTATTCATTTTTTTTTTTAATTCAAAATATATCAAAAATGTCAATTGATCAACTTTTATATACCTCTTATGAAATATTTATTATGTAAAGTATTTTTTAGGAGTACTAAAGGCTAGAAAAACTGCTTTAGAGTATTTACAAAGTAAAGAAGAAAAGCAACGTTTATATAAAGAAAAAGAACTTGAATTGCAAGAGAAACGTCTTCAGTTAGAAGAAAGAAAAATCACGTTGCAAGAAAAACAATTTGAAATGGAAGTATTGGAAAGGAGAGAAAAGTTGGAAATAGAAAAAGAAAAAAATAAAGAGGAACTATTTGAAAGAAATCAGTCTGCTAAATTAATTGAAAACCAGCGGCATCTAATTCAGACTTTAATGACAATGCTAAAAAAAAAATATGAAGACTGCTAAATGTCTGTAGCAATAATTTTTATGCAATGTTAATGTTAAATGTATGTTTCTTTCTAAATAAATATTACATAACAATAATAATAAAATATTTTATTGGCAAAGAACCATAGGAATAATATAGAAGACCAATATAAATATAACATTTAAGCAGAAATTGAAACCTACTGTGCATAAAAACGGGCTGCGCCTGACATCGCAAAATAGTAGGTGCGTTTTAATCATCCGCTTCTGCTTCCGGAATTGTCGGTTTAGTCGTTTTAACCTGTCAGATTAAAACAAGAAAACTGACAATTCCGAAGCAGAAGCGGATGATTAAAACGCACCTATTGTGTCTAGAAGCATGCGTAATATGCATGACTTGTCCCTGTAGTGTTGCCAAGAATATTAAATATATCTAACAGAAAAGAATTTTAAATTAATTTATTTTTAAATTATATGATTTAAACAGTTTATACCTAAGAAATACCGCTACAAAATAACTTATAAACATTTAAATAATCAACTAATAATATTTATGTGTAATTACATTCCCAAAAATATATACAAATATGGTATTAATGTTCAACAAGCGATTCACCTACAAATTCAATATTTACCTGGCAATAGCTCTAAAATCCGGTGTTTCAAGGCTATATGACGCTGCCCTTACAGGACCGTTTGTAGTTTATTATTTAATTACACGATGAAAGTGGCTTTTTAGTTTTGTGTAGTATTTAGTTAAATCCTAGGTACAATAAAAGACATTTTTACATTGGCTAATGAAAATGTAATCAATGTATTTAGCAGTTGTTATATTTACAAGATTTATGTCTGGAAATTTAAACCTACCTAAGAATTATAATTATGTAAATAGAGAACTGTATATTTATATACAGGCTGCCCAGCGACAGGGAGACATTATCGATATCTTACAAAACAATGAATGATTTTTCGTTAAAAATAGTAAGCAGGCTATGATCTTTCCATCAAAAATATTCTGACAGTTCTGCTATTTCCGTTTTATTTTAAATGAGATGCCACTTCTATTATTTCTGATAGCGATGGAACATAAAATGTTGCTTATTTGGAATATATACCTTTACACAACGTTCAAGACGTCAGAGACCGTGTTTCAGCCGGGTATAATTTAAAATAAAGAATTTTAAAATGAACCCTATTAAATTGTACCTTTACCTAACATTTATGGCATCACTGGCCGAGTTGGCATCGGGTATATTTTCAAATGTAGAAACGGAAAATTAACCCTATTAAGTACCTTTTCTTAACATTTGTGACGTCCAGAGCTGTCACCTATCAGTGAGATTTAAATCATTTTTTGATTTAAATACTTTGATTTTAAATCTTTTTTAAAAAAATGATTTTTGATTTATGATTTAAATCTTTTTGAAAAGTATCTTTGATTTTTTATTTAAAAATTAGATTTAAATCTTTTTAAAACGATTTAAATCTTTTTAAAACTATTTCAATCTTTTTAAAACGATTTAAATCTTTTTAAAACCATTTATATATTTTTAAAACGATTTAAATCTTTTTATTGATTTAAATCTTTCTGAAATTATTTAAATCTGTAAAATGATGCGATCTTTTTAAAATGATTTAAATTTTCTTAAAGATTTAAATCTTTTTTTAAGATTTAAATCTTTTTAAAACTATTTACATCACCTGATTCGTCAAAATCGTTATCAACCTGTCTATTCCTGAATAATAATCTAGTCGGCATGTAAGTAGGGTTGAATCAGAAATCCGTGAGAAAAGAAAAACAAAAAATAGTAAAGTGTAACAAATAATTGCAATGACTTAAGATTATTCTTAAGTATGAAATTTTATAATATCCTGAAACTCTTTATTATTTAGTATTTTAAATGTATGCACTTTTTTTTCAGATTTGACATGAGTTGCATTAAGACGATTATGACTTTTTGACCAGTTCAATAAACACGCTTGGCATAGATAGAGCGAATTAATTACATTTTTAATTTCTTTGCCTGATTCATCCACACATTTTTCAAAAAAATTAACCCAACGTGCTCACTTTGGTTATTTATTTACTCGCAATAACTTCACGTCGAGAGAAGAACTCTTTTAATTCAACCCACTCAATTTCATTATTCATAGCCGGGAGATTTTGAAAATGAAATGCATTTTTCCGGGAGAGTCTCCTAAGTAGAAAAAAAAACATATTTTTAAAGAGTCTGATGTATGTGCATTTATGTGGGGTGTTTATGTATGTATGACATTAAGCACGTTAACTCAAGGAAGAGTTAACGGATTTAAGTGATTTTTCAGAAAAAAAATCACTTTTCTTAAAAACTAGGTCTCCATTGTTTTGTGGCATCATAGGCATACCAAAAGTATCTTTTAAAGGGTTGAAAAATTCCTATTTACCAATTGACATGACATTTTTAAATAACAATTTTAATAACTATAGATATCATGCTGCATAAATCCTTAAAAATTTTATCTTGATCGGATATTTATTATTTAAAATTAATATTTTCGTAAGAATTGTATTGGGCTAATAACGATAAAAAATAAATATGAGAAAAGTTGATCGAGTTTTGCGTTTTATTTATGAGAAAATCACATTACTTAAGTATTCATTATCTTTGGCCTACCGAAAGCATTTTTTAAAGAGTTACCCAAATCTATAAAAAGATTTAAATCTTTTGAAAATATTTATTTCGTTTAAAAAGATTTAGATATTTCGAAAAGATTTAAATCTTTCGAAAAGATTTAAGTCTTTCCTAAAATGATTTAAATCTTTCGAAAAGATTTAAATCTTTCCTAAAATGATTTAAATTGTAAAAAAGATTTAAATCTAAAAAAGATTTTTGATTTAAATCTTTCTTTTTAAAAAATCGATCTTTGATTTAAATCATTTGTTCAAATGCAAATGGTTTATGATCTTTGATTTAAATCGTTTTTAAAATGATCTTAAACAGCTCTGGTGACGTCCCTGGCGGAATTGGCATATACTTTCAAATGAGGGTTTTAAGGCATTTTAAAACATAAACCCGATCTCAACGAACATAGAAACTCTTCTGGCACTCGATATTTTAATCGGTACTTCCTCTTCGCTTTTTGGCTGGCACAACAATTATTTACATTTCTTCATTCTTTACCGCGTGCGAACCAGTAAGGTTTAAATAAATTTTATAAAACCTACTTTAAAAATAAAGATGTTAATGATTTTTTCATGGATCCCACCTTCAGGTCTTGACTAAATGTATATAGACCTATTCCTTTTCTAACAAAAAAGAATCATAGAAATCGGGCAACGTGGTAAAGAATTATCGCTCAACGTACATAAAAAATATTTCAATGAATTGAGAATATTTTGAAGTATGTTGAAAAAAAATTGTTAATAAAGTGCAAATGAACGTTTATTATAAAGTATATAAAATAAAAGATAAAGCCATTTTAGAAGGTATTATAAATAAACTGGAAATATCGAGAATCTCGATTTTGAATCGGAAGAATATTCTATGCAATTTAGAATGAAAGCTGATCAAAATGAAACACATGAACGACACGCTGTTATTGACGACTTTCTTCAAACGTTTTCTAGTTTTCCGAAAACTAACTGGATAATTCGAAAATCATTTCCGTCGTTAAAGCGCCTCTTGTTCTGAAAAAGGTACACGCCTGTCAATATTCATCGCTCAATAAAAAAGTGTTAGATACAAAACGCTTCGTATTGTAAGGCCAAAATATATTTAGAAATCAAAAGAGTCATATGAATAAAAAAATCATATAAGTGAGATAACTACCAAATTAATGATTTACAAGTTTATTCTTATTATCTATAAATAGTTTTGCAATGTGCTGATGTGGACTCGTCGACTCTAAACTTTAAATCTTTGTATTAAATTGATGGAAAACAATCCATACATTGGTTTAGACTATATAGAATGTATCTAGTAAGCAGCGACTATTTTTTATTATTGAACCGAAAGACCCTTTTAAAAGGGTTCAAAATTAAAATAAAATATGTACCAAGTATATGTAGTAGTATTTTTTAATTTATATTGAAAATGGTAACATGAAACGTTTTCTGTCTAATTGTATGTAACGACTCATAGTCTCGGCTAACAAAATGTAAAAAATTATCGAACATAATATTCCTGGGCGAAAAGCAACTGCCCCCTATTTTGCAATCCCCAGATTAAATTTAGTTGTAGCAAATGATACTAAATCAAATAAGATGTCAAATCACAAGCAAAATCTCGTGACTACGATACTAATGATTGCCGAAAATTGACTAATTCATATTTTATGCCATATCTTTCTTAATAAGGACTTTCAGAACCATATTTACCTTACTTGAATTTTTTTTATCGTTTTCTATATAGATCATCTCCAAAAATGTATAACTGAAACATTGTGTAAACTATTTGTTCGATCAATAAAAAACTTGCACCGGTCCTGTTCGAGCCAGCACCGTTATACGCATGAGCTCCGACACACTATTTTCTCCTTATGGTTTCATTTTTGATATATGGAATCGGCTTTCTATACTATTTCTATGCAAAGAACAGAAAAACAATATAGAAATATAATAAAATATTTACCAAAAAAGCAGAAAGTCATCCAATGTTAATGAGAGATAATAATTTAATGACTGAGCACAAGTCTAGAATGTTAGTTCATTAGGAAATAGCATGTTTTTTCTTTTATTTTTTATAGTGCTCAATGAGCAAGTATTAAGATATCTCGGAAACCTGTTGTATAGCCTGGTTATATTGTATGAAAAATATGATTCAAAGAGGGAAGTAGAGTGAATAGGTGGGCGTCAAGTTAGAGCGAAGACGTATGGCGTATTACTGATCTAAATTGTATTTATTATAAATAGATTGATGTATGATAAAATATAAAACAATGTAAGAAGAATTCTTTTTTTCATCATTTAACCACCCTA